TTTTTTTTTTTTTTTTTTTTCTAAACTCAGATTTATGCCGATATTTAGTACCGTATTGCAGATTAAGGAAGTAATAAGAAACTCATATTTATGCTGACATATTTTATGATTGTTTTGTAGATTCATCAATATGGGTTTGGATTTTTGACTTAATGGGTGTTTTGGGCTGACATGTCTTAATCCCTGCTTTTTTTTTTTCTTCCTAATTCTTTTTTAATGCTTGGACATGATTTGCCACAGGCAAGATTTTTATTGGCGAAATTGAACCCTTCAGCCACTTACAGCAATGCACACGAGATGATGAATACTGGGTCTGATGTGATCTTCACTGATGACGTGAGTCTACAAGTTTTCATTGATCATCTTCAGCGGCTGGCAGTTCAAGCTTCTTGAGAGGGTGAGTTTGGTCGATGAATTATTGATGGAATTTGTGGAGCGAGTTTCTATGCCATTTTTTGTACACACTATACGAAACTATGCCGTTGCCGTGAAACAGCAATGATGTAGCTTGGATCGTTCACTGTTTGAACATTAAGGATTATAGAAGGATCGTCTCTGGATGAAAATTTGTTTGAGGGTCTCGAGGTATTTGTAACTTAGTTGTGGTTTAAGGAAAGGGTATAATTTTGTAAGTTATAATAGACATTTTTGGACTTGAAAGCTGGTCGGGATTTCGAACATTTGTAGTTCTTTCCGTCGTTTTTACTGTGTGAATCCATTACTTGAGAATGTCAAGCGACATTGTTGTATACTTGTATTGAATTTAAGGAAGTGGCTTGAGGCTAGACAATTATTGGACGCCGAGGTCTTTGATATTTTTTTTCGGATGAAAATTTTATCATTTTATTTAAAGTATTTCTAAATTTTTGAATTTGTGACAATTGATTTGACAAAATTAGAAATTTACCGGCACCCTTCCTCTTATTCATATTTACCCTTTATTAATGTCACAAAATATTTTTTTTATTATATTTTTAGGACATATTTACACTAAGTTAAAATCTGGGAAAATAATTTAAATGGCAAGAATATCTTAAAGATCATTGTATCCCAACTCATTCCTAGAATCATGCAAATTAAGTAACACCACCAATCCTCTCTATATATTATTCTTGAATGTGTGAGCCTACGTGGTTGTTTCTGGTGCTTCGCAATTCTACTTGGCGAAGAATCATGCTTCGTAATTAGGTTTGGACAAATAATATTGATATATTAACAATTAATAATAATTTAGGTTCGGACATTCCATAAATATTATTTAGCTAATTTAGGTATTTTAATATCACTTTTACTGATATAACCCTTTAATTCTTTGTAATTTTATATAGTGAGACACTAAGTGACTAATATAACTTTTGATTTGTTTACTTCAATTAGCTATTGAATTATAAATGTATTTTAAAAATTAATAACTTTTGTATTTCTTATCGGTTTTACATAGGGGTGGGCACGGTTCGGATACTCGAGTTTTTTGAGGTATTTTGCTAACCGAACCGAACCGAGCAAATATTCGAACTTGCTAACCGAAACCGAACCGAAAATCTCGGTTAACCGAAAAAAATCCTACTATTTGCGAATTAACCGAACCAAACCGAACCGAACAAACCTAACACAAATCTGTGTTAGGTTTGCTCGGTTCGGTTCGATTCGGTTAATCCGCGAATAGCCATATCAACAGGTTAGTTTAATATATATAAATATAATATATAATATACAATATAATATATATTTCATAAATTTTAATATAATATACGATTCGGCTCGGTTCGGTTCGGTTAACCGAGGTAAAAAAATCCTAAAAACCGTAACCAAACCGAACCGAGCAAATACTTCCTTTGAGGTATTTGTAACCGAATCGAGTACCCCGGTTAACCGAAAATTCGGTTCGATTTCGGTTCGGATCTACGATTCAGCGGTTCGGTTCGAATTTTTTGCCCAGTCCTAGTTTTACATATATAATATATCAAATTAATCATCATTTGATGATCTTCGATTTGACATTCATATTGTATATATGAAATAAATAAATCACATTTATCTTTATAATAATAAAAAATAATAATATTTATTAAAATTCATTAGAAAAATAAAATTATTTCTCAATTGATATATTTATGTTTAATGTAGTTATATGTTGTAAGTAAAAAAAATATAATAATATAACACAGGTAAGTCGCACAAATAAAAAAATGTCATACTAAATATATAATAATATATATATTTTTATAAAAGTTATTGAAATTTTCAGTTACTTTTTCTCATTAATTTAGATTTTAAGAAAAAATTAACAAGCACCCGTGTAATAAACGGACGTTGTACTAGTGCAAAATAAATGTAAATAGGATCTTATCTAAGAAAAAATTAACAAACACCCGTGTAATAAACGGACGTTGTACTAGTGCAAAATAAATGTAAATAGGATCTTATCAATCTATAATTATATAAAAATGCATTCTATTTACTAGAATTAATAGTAAGAAAAGTCAAAGGTAATTAATGCATTATATTTCCATCAAGTATTTATTTAATTATTTTAGTTAATTATTTTATCTTATAACACCTTTTCAATACAACTTACCATGATTTTTCTAATGTGATTAAAAATCAAATTTTACGTTTAAAATCTTGTGAAATTTATTATTATTATTTTTATAAAGCACATATTATTTGTTAAATATATATATATATATATATATAATACACATCACAGTACCATGGTAGATGATTTAAATTTCAGCCGACCAAAATGCCAATGATATAAATTTGAACACACATATGCGTTTGACTAAATGTCTGGATGATTTAAAATTGAGTCCATAAAAAATTATTTAAATTTGAACACACCAGAAATTTTATGTACTTTTTATTTATAAATATATTGAAAGTGGTATTTTATATAAACTATTTTAATATATTTGCAATGAATAAAAATTTGGATGAATAATTTGTAACGTTATTCATAATGTTTGTGACTTATGAGACACGAACACACAACTCCATACATATTTGTCAGATGGCGGCTTAATAACTTTTTATACTTAACGTTAATTAAAAGAGATAGAAAATAAATAATAACATTATTACTTTTTAAACTTAAACGGACAAGTCTGTGAAAATAACTCATTTAATGTCTTTGTCCCGTGCATCGCACATGGTACGTACTAGTTTTATTAGGAATCTTAAGAGTATCTTTAATCATAACATGAGAAGAGTAGGTTTATTTGTGTACATCAGTGCCATTTCATGTGCCTTATTGTTGATGAGTATGACCAACTTAAGGTGCAACAATGTATACAAAATCAATGAAAATTTATTAAAGGCCAAACTGCGCTTTTAACACATACGAATCACCAGGAACATGCACGAATCACGGTTTTTATAAATTTTAAAAATTTCAAATGTTGCCGCAAACAATTCGTAAACCTCTCCCAACTCATTAGAATAACACACAATTCTCATGTAATCAACATATCCAAACCACATACAAATGTTTTAACTGCAAGAAATAACAATTGTGTTGCTCTTTTTTTTACCCAGGATCTGTTAAATAGTAAGGGATACAGAAACTATTTGTTACTTACTCGTTTCTTTAAGCAGCTGGCACCATTTCCTCAATTAATCACAAAACCTAATAATAAGAAGCATTGTTAAAGCTGTCTACAAAATAGGAAACTGTTAATTCAAAAGCATAATATCTTCACAAACCTCAGGGCGATTTACTACAACACGGTGCGAAAATCTCGAAAACAAGGTGATAATTGTCTGTATATTACTCATCTTCTTCAGGCAGTTGAAATTCAAGATCAAGTTTCCTCTTTAAATGTGATCTGTCAGCACTGGTACGAAGGACTAACATTTAATGATATTTAGAACATAAAATCGTAACAATCATTATGTGTAGTCATCGATATATGCAACGGACAAATGATCTACAAATACTAAGCCCTAACTTCGATCAAACCAAAGGTTCTAAAAGGCTCCAACAACTATCCACACAACTACCCAACATATCAGCCAAAACCTCGGAATAATATAAGAGCACAAAAAGATCTAAAAGACGTGATACATATATATGGACCGTCGTTTTGGAATCTACTTTCAGGATTGACTGACATGGTACATAGAACATCTTCAGGATTTCCTTCACGAGACAGTACATGCATATTGACTGACATGGAATGCATTAAAAACTACACTTACATAGTAGTTTTATTTATTTATTTTGTTTAGGGGGATGGGTGAGGGTGATGACACCTCAAGAGAATGGTGAGGGATCAATGAGGCAGTGTTTATAAATACAAGAGTCTACATTCAATTTCCTTCAAAAGTTCCCATGCAGAACCTTAGAACCAAAATCTATGGATAGTATCATAATGTGTAACATTCCTTCACAAATTTGTTTGACAAACTTCCCATGATCCTAATGCATTGATTTGATATTGTTCTCCTGTCTATATTTTTACCGGCCTTCTATTGGATTCTACTATCTATCTGTACTTTTTAAGATAGTGGCAGGTATCACTTTTAACCAACTATTATTGTTTCTTCCAAAGTGCACAAGAAGCAAGATACCATTCTCATGATTAGTGTGGCCCATAACTCCATATTGACAAATTTATATTCAAGGTAGTATCATCAAGAGTGCAAGCCCATAAGACAATTTTTGCCTACCTAGAAATTGTTGGTCTATTTGGATACCCCTCTCCTAAAGCGGAGAACTCCAGAGACATTGGAGCTTGTCCACCCCTCTCCTCGGCTGTCTGTCTTATCCCATTCCCAAGGTCTTCAGTATTTGCCATTTGCCGAGCATTCACATCAAATGCCTCACGAATAGGCATTATCCTTCTTTGCTTTCTTGGAGGAGACAACACTGTGGGGCCCTCGGGAGGATTAAGGTCTGGGACCTTTGGATTGATGGCATCCTTCTTTGGAGGAGGTCTCGGAAGCATAGCAGGTTCAGTTGGTAGAGGCGTGGAAGTAAAGTAACTGTAAAAGAGTAAAGTAAATGCACGTGTTTTGTTGAACCAATCATCGGACAAGTTTTATAAATGGAGCATACCGGTGCTCCAAAGCCTGCTGTGCTGAAATTCTTGCTTTTGGATCATACATAAACATCTTCCCTAAGAGGTCCAAAGCATCATCACTTGCCGTGGGGAATAATGTGCGCAATGGTTGAGCAGGCGCATATTGATACTCCAAATAATCGGGAAGATACACCATATCTGGCCACTGTGATCTCTTCGGGGTCCCAAAAACACCAAAGATCTTTCCTAGTTGATCCATATCAGTATTTCCCTACAGAAATTTGCTTTGGATCAGAATTAATAGTAGAAATGTAACGAATTCAAGACTAAGTACATTGGAAGACCATAGGACATCCTTATACCATAAATCTGGAGATGGAAACATAACTAAGTCGCTAAAGATTAAAGCATTGCTTATGGTTAAGCTTGAGTGGAGAAAATGTCATAACAAGATCAACTTTTACCTGCAGAAAAGGCCGACGAAGTAGTAGTTCAGCAAATATACATGCTGCAGCCCACACATCCACACCAGGACCATACTGTTTTGCACCAAACAGCAGCTCCGGTGCTCTGTACCATCTAGCAAAAACCTAATATGATATTGAACGGTTCAATATGATTCAGCCCCAGAAATAGATGTATATAAGATAATCATTTTGTAGTCCAGATTAAGATATAATAAATACTTTTTTAAATATAGACTTCTAAAAGTCAACTCAAACTAATAAGTAGAACTAGCAGGCTTCTATACACTACAGCCTGTCACGGAAACTCACAATTGAGGATATAAGTTACATAAACAAGCATCTGATGCCACTCGAAAGCATCCCGACATAATATTACACAAATTATTCTAACAGTTCTCTACTCTCCATCAAAATAACAGTGTATCAAAAATATAAACATGTAAAAGATTTCCAACAGAATGCCCATCGGGAGCACATATTAACCAATCCTCTTATGCTGCGGCAACAAGAATCAACACCATTATATTATATCATGTAACAAGTCTGAGATGTCATGGAGTTCAAGTAGTGTTTGGACTGGATCAACCAGACAGATGCATACCTGGTGAGTGAATCTTCGGTCCGGGCTCCCAAATATACGGGCTAATCCAAAATCAGCTAGTTTAAGTTGCCCTCCAGGTCCAATCAGCAAGTTGTTTGGTTTCATATCCCTGTTCAAGTCAAGACAGTCAATAATCTGAAAAGACGAAGCATGTCGGGCATTATATGCAGTACAAATTGAAGAAAATTCACCTATGCAGGACCCATTTCTTATGGCAAAATGCAAGACCCTTCAGGGTCATTTGAATGTACGACTTGATATCAGCCGGAGAGAGAAATATATTTCTATCACGAATAACAGCTTCCAGATCTGTCTCCATGAACTCAAACACAAGGTGCAAGTTCCCCTTATGAGGGAATGCATCAATCAGCTCAATTATATTTGGGCCGTGAAGCTCCTTAAGCAATTTAATTTCTCTCAAAGCTGTGAAGTTCACCCCTTCCTTCTGCTTCCCAAGCCGAATCTTCTTGATGGCAACTGTTTGCCCTGTCTGCTCATGAAACGGAATAGAAGAATGTAGTAGTAAACAGAGACAACTCTTCTACAAACAGTCAAACACACAGGATATAAGATTGATGAATGCAAAATCCTTCAGAATCCCCCACACCCATAATCAGAAATCCAGAAAGACTAATAATTCAATCCCCAGTCTTCTCCAAGCACACTGAATACGTGAACTAACAATACATGAACCCTAGAACAGCAATTATTTCCCAGATGTAGGTCGGTAACACCAACAGGGATACAGCTCGAATTGAAACATAGACGGGGCCCAAGAGCTTAGACAGTTAAGCACACAGCAAAATGTAACAACGACGGTACCTTAGTATCGATAGCTTTGTAAACGACGCCATATGTGCCTTCACCGAGGACCTCGCGTTTCAGGTAACGATCGGCTACTTTCTTGGACAACAGCTGATCCACCTCGGCCATTCTCGTTCTTCTGTTTCCCCTCTCCTTTACGACTGGAAAACCTCATTCATTACAAAGAAACGGAGCCAGTACACAGCGGTTAAAACCAAAAGGGCTCACGGTATGATTGGTGTTGGTTGATGGTTGTTGTGAGCACTAGAAGCTGGAAAACATAGTCGAATAGAAGTAGCTGTTGAGAGGGTAGGTGCGATTGACGGAGCGTGGTGAACAGTGAGGAGATGGTAGGAGTGTGCGGCGTCCACACGGCGGCGAGAAATTGCGGTTTAAAAGACGGGGAAGAAAGTGGAGAGATTTCTTTATTAATTAATATAATTAATATAATATTGATATTGATATATAACTATTTTTTAGAGTAAATAGCTATTTTCAACTGAGTTCTCAAAATAGATTAAATTTTACCACACTGTCAATTAATAAGTTAATTTTTTACTCCATGAAATAGGAAACAAATAATGGATAAGCTACGAGACACACGAAAATAATTGTGCAAGTGCAAAATAGATATGCGATAAACTGTTAAGTCAAAAATGACAGTCAACCCTCTTTCTTTTACCCCACTAAGTGCGAAACAAATAATACGATAAACTATGAGACAAACGAAGATAATTGAACAAATGCAAAATAGATATTTAATAAACTTATGCGACAAAAGACGGAGATAATTGTTGAGTCAAAAATGGCAGCTCAACCCTCTTTCTTTGACAACAACAAAAGAAGAAAAAAAAAGCAACAGTCTACAATTGCCTACAATTGAAGAATTTGGAGTGCAATAAATAGAGGGATTTTGATGAACACACAACACACCAAGCACAACATCAAAAAAGGAGGGAAAAGAAAGAGAAGAAAAGTGTGAGCAAGAAGCAAAAATTTTAACTTCTGTGTGTATTTGAGTTGTGAGTGAGTTTGAAAGTGTTTGTAAACACGAGTGTAATTCTTTTCTCTTAATAAAATATTTGCAGTAGTCCGGAGACGTAGACATTATTGGTAGAACTCCGTTATCAATTTGGTGTGTCTAATTTTTCTTTTTTTATATAGATCCGACTTTATGAAAAATTCAGCGTATTTTTCTCAACAATAACTTATTTAATAAACTATGCGACACAATAATTCAGCAAGTGCAAAACAATTTTGTGATAGCCTATATGACAAGACATGCGATGTTAAATAAGAAAATGTGAATTTAACTATGCGACAGACACATGGAGTTAATTGAGCAAGTGAAAAAAGATTATGTGATAGACGATGAGACAGACTTGTCTAGTTAATTGAGCAAGTGTAAAACAATTATGCGATTGACTATGCGACAGACATGCAGAGTTAATTGATCAAGTGTGAATTTAATATGCGATAACATATGCGAACAGAAAGGTGAAAATAATTGAACAGTGAAGTTAACTGAACAAGTGTGAAATAATTATGCGATATATGTGAAGAAAGATAACTGAGCAAGTGTGAAATAATTAAATGATAAACTATGCTTGTACCAAAAAAAAAAATGATAAACTATGCGACAAACAAGTGAAGTTAATTGAACAAGTGAAATAATTATGCATTACATTATGCGACGACCATGCAAAAATAATTCAGTAAATGCAAAATAATTATGTGATACACTATACGACAAGACATACGATGTTAATTGAGTGAGTGTGAAATAATTACATGATAAACTATTCGAATTAGCGTGAACAGGTCGGTCAATAGCGGGTGTCTCGTAGATCAGTTTATCTTAAATAATTATTTATCTGAATGAATATGCGACATTTATGTGAATCTTTAAGTCTTCCAACTTGTTCACGTCTCTTTTTTCCTTAACTAGTCGAATGATAGTCTCTTCCAGTTTCTTACACCTGTTATTATTTTCTTCCATCTTCTCCTCAATTTTCAACTTGTCATGTAAGCCCGAGAACGTGTTCGGGCGAAAATATCGGTTTTCTTGAGAGAAGCATAGGTTGTAGCTGCCGCCAAAGTTATCTGCTGATAATCCCCGCTATTCGCATATTAGACGAAGGCCGCGCACCAAGGAACTTCTAGTGTTGACTGCTCTCGAGCGGGTGGGGACTACTGTAATGGTCGTCCTCTCGAGAAGGTTGTACCATGTGAAAGAGGTTTTCAACATCTTGATCTAGTGCGACCAAAATTTCTAATAATGGAAATCCCTAAGCCATGAGGCAGAGGATCTTAAATTGGGCCGATATCAACGACCGGAGGAACCTGATGAAAAACGATATGGACGACGACTTCTATGAACTAATTAAAAATCAGAACCATGAAATAAATTAATACATGAAGTTGCG